TATTTTCTACATTCGTTCCGTCAAAGGTATCTCTTCGTTTGATCCCTTCTTCGCGCCTGCTAATGAATTCAATATTTGGCGAATTATTTCAGGCTGATCTTTAGGAAACACTATTATTTTCATTTGATATGTCATTTTGGCTTGTCCGCCCTGAGATAATGTCCCTGAAACCAATTGCAATTGAATTATCCCAGCTTACATTTATTCTACCAAGCTCTCAATTCATCCCAGCAACGGAGATCGACTCCGTAAAGTCGGCAGAAGAACAAAAGTGCATTGGAACACCTCTGGAAAACTGAAAATGTTCTCATCTGAACAGCTGTCCTCTCGCTTGACACGAAAAGTTTTCGATCAGTGGGTGCTCCCGTTGCTAGCCTCTTGGTGCGAAACGTAAGCTTTGAACTTACAATCAATTCATAAACTGTGGACTACGCAAAGCAGTGCGGAAATGTGTATGCTGAGAGTAAACAGAAAATATGGGAGAGAGAATGAATAAATGTGAGCGTAAACAAGAGTCTACGATGTCACTGCCCAAAGAAAGAAGTCAATGTGGCAATCTGCGAGACATGTTGCAATTGCAACCGACCATCGTTGGACAGAGAACTGTCAGACTGCATTCCAAAAAAGAGTAAATGGCCCGTAGGATTACATGCAGAATCATGGTGTGTGAAGAAGTTCGCTGGTTCAAGATGAATGACAGAACTAGTCTATGGCAAAGTCTTGGAGAAACCTCCATTCGTCAGTGGATCGGAAAATCCTCTTAATGATGATGATAAACCTGGAATGTTAATTCAGTCAAGATATGAGCAGGATTAGTAAAACTGGAGAAGTCACTCCATGAAAATCATAAGAGTTTCAATATGGGATGTGTGCCCTCAAGCTACACGTTTTGTTTTGGCGTTTTATACGTTAACATCAGCACGCAACCACAATTTACAGTTGAATGATTATTTTCAAAATCGCCGCAACAATTATTTTTAGAGCTGCGGTCGCGACTTTCAAATAGAAACTGAACTGTCTTGACTGATTGGAAAAATAGTTTCCAGTGAAACGGACATAAACGTGGAATAATTCAATTCACGTAAATGCGGTTTTATTATTGACCTACACAATGCTTCAAAGCAGTTGGTTGTTCGTCGTTCAAAGTGATTGATTGTTTCAACAGCGTAGGGAAGTGACATAAACAAATTCGGTAGAAGAAAATCCATTAACTCTGACAAAAGACACCTCTTCTGAAGGTCGAGGGATCGACGATGATTTCGAAAGTCAGATGATCGTTGACGCAAAATCAGAACTAGATCAGAAATGGCTAAAATTAAAACAGTTCAAATCGCTGTCATTGCCGCCATTTCTAATCGTGTAAAAAAACGACGAAAATTTGCCACGAGCAGTTTCAACTTATTGAATAAGGCGCTGTAAAGCGCGGTTACGGAGATATCGAAACTAGAAAAATTTTGATATCTTGTGCGAGGCATATTTTCGTTCTCCATATCGGTTTGTACCTGTGATTGAAACTTCGTGGACGTTAATGAGCATGTACTGATTGAACGCGCATCCATATTTTGGCTGAGAAAGCAGTAACTCCTCCCATAAAAATCAGCTTGCACCTTGCCTTCTTCAAGTCAAGGTTGTTTATGGCAAGTAGATAGTCTCTAGCGAATAAACGAAAACAGGGCTGAACTGCGGGCAATCGCGTTGACTTCAGCTTACAATGAGAAAAGGGGAGCAGGAACACGGCATGCAACATGACGGAAGAAGGACAAGTTAAATCAGCTTACAGAGAGAAATATTTTCTTCTGCAATGCAGAAGAAGGTGCCCTTTAGCAAAAATGTTGAAAATCTGCGGATACAGGGGATATCGCAAACCACAGATGTTCTGTGCGAATGGCTCAAGGTGATGATCTCAACAGAAAAGGTGACGCTTCAACTCGCGTGCGCAAAGCTCAATATCATACAATCATTACTCCTTTTATACCTTCAAAACCTTAAAATCTCATCTATAACAGACACCGCTTAGGAAACAAA